TTTTTTTTTTTTGGCATCGATTGTTTTAATTTCCGATGTTCTAGGCTAGTTCTATTTACAATATAACATGTCATGCTAAGAAGAGGTAGAAAATTGTCAGCCACACCTTTTTTTTTAGCAGCAAAATTCTTCAATCCAATTAATAGCACGAGTAAACAACACAAAAGTTAATAAAGAAATCAATTGGAGGCAATTGTTCCAAAAAAAAAAAAGACAGTAAGTTATAAGTAAAGCCACTAATAATCAACATTTAATATTGTCCATTGTTGGATTATGAATGAGATTATCTCGAAATGGATCAACAAAATATATCTCCAGAGAAGCTACCTTGAATTCCTTGTTCTCTTTGTTTACTTGAATTCGAAGGCAAACTGTGAACAAAGAGCACCAACAACTCAATAATTATGGAGTTTCTCCATATTAAATAGATACAACGCAGGAAAATAAATAATTGTGCCGTCAACTTACCAGCAAGAACAGCAGTCCCCACACAAGAAAGTACCCCCGAAAGAAAGGAGTTGAAGGGGAATGATCCAACTATAGCCATGTAAGCTACCTAATTATCAGCAAAATGAAATAGGATTGTCAGGTCACGCTTATCCATCTAGAAACGCACAATACAAACTCGTTTTTCTCAAGAAAGAATGTGCATGAAGAACTTGAGACCAGCTCTCTTATATGACTAAAAGATCACAAAACAACCCACCTATCCTAATTTTGTCATCATTTTTTTTTAGGAAAGAGAGGTATATTGCTCATTTTGCACTACTCACATGTTCAATTAATAGTGCAACTAGATGATCAAAATAACACTAACCGTCTAACATAAGGGAAAACAAAATTATTTGTCCTTAGGGCTCTAAAACAGCAACTAGAAGCCAGGAGGTCTAATTAGGTAATTCCATTTATGTTGTATCCCCATCTGATTTGCTGTCTCCATTGTTTAACCATCTCAGTAATCCATCAAATGATAAATCACAAACATATTGAATGTGATATCAAACTAATCGATAAATTAAACATTAATCAGACCATACGGCAAAAATATACGAAACAGACTCGTAGTCTCTAAACTACCCAGCGCAATCCAAACCGATTTTAGCAAAATATCTCCACATAACCAATTCAAGTCCCCAAACCAAAGGCTAACTCAAAAATTTGGATACCATACAGCTCAAATCTAACACTATGGCGCCAATGTCAATGTTCTAAGTATTCAATATCGTATAAGACGGACTCTCGTAGTCTCAATCGAAACTACCCAACTCAATTCAATCCAATAGAAGAAACAAGTAGAAAATCCAAGTCTCCAAACCAAATGTAGACTCAAAGGCATCCAGTACATTGCAATACAACCTATCATTATCAAATCAGAACAGAAAATACACAAGAACCAGCTCCGAATCTCCTTTACACACGATAATCAAAGCGATCAAGCAATAATTTCCAGATCAAAACAAGAGAGAAGTCAACCAAAATAAAAACTACATCAAAATCAAACTATATCAGCGAGGAATGGAACAAGAGATATATATACACGACCTGAATCACAGCTGTGACGACTGCAAAGACAGTGTACAGATCGATAATCTGCAATTAAATCAAAAAAAAAAAAAAAAATCGTAAATCCACTATCCAAAAGATTCAAGCACTCACCCCAAACTACACATAATTCATTACTCTTGTACCTTGAGATTAGTTGGAGTGGCCGCGTAAGCAGATCGGAGAGAATGAAACAGGTCCTGGGCGTCCTTGGTCGTCGTTGACGTCGTCGATCTCCCCATTTTTCACACTCCTCAACTCTCTCTCTCTCTCTCTCTCTATAATCGGAGACCAGATATGGAGAGTGATGATAGTCATCTCTCAATGAATAAAAGGCTCTGAAAAAATGAGAACAGTAACAGTCATTAACAAGTAAACTCTTAGGCCCATTTTGAGTCTGACATATTAAAGCCCAGTATTAGTTTGATGGAAAGGAAGCATCAAGTATTAAATTAAAAGCCCACTGGCACTGCACACTAATGTTCTTACTCGGGTTTCCTCAACTGGATAGACCTGAGTACAAGTATAAAGAGCAACAACATGGACAAAATAGGGGGAGAATCGTGGTAGACCCGACTTGTTCCGTTGGCGGTAGAGTGGATGAATCATCGGGTTACTTTATTTTCGAATGCCCATTCAGTTTGAAGATATGGGGGAGAGATTCGTGATTGGATTAACTTACGTCATAAGTTATTGGCTCTCAAATGGACTAAGAAGGAGACTAGAAAGACTAATTGACAAACTAAGATGAAGAAAGCGGCGCTTGCAGCAACCGTGTACTTCATTTGGAACGCGAGGAATATGTTGGTTTTCGAAATTGAATTTCAACCTCCGAGCCTTGTGGTACGTAAGATCAAAACTCATGTTTATCGTACTATATTTGTGATGGCGACGAGATCGCCCTGGCTTACTTGGAGAAATACGATCGACGTCGGGCTTAGACGTTTCACTATTGCTGTTGCTATTTATTTATCTACTGTTTTATTTAATAATAGATTTTATTACTATTCTTATTATTATTAGTAGAAGTATTATTTCTTATTTAGTAGGGTTAGGAGATTATAAATAAGGGGACTGATGTAGAGCGTAGTACG